TCTTTTTAGTTTTAGTTTTACTTGGAAACCCAGAATTGATTTAATGGGAGAAAAATGCATCAGTTCTCTGGTTTAAAAAATTTAAGACACAGAACGGACTCAATTCTTTTGATATTCATCTCAACATACAAACACAACAGCATAGTAAAGACAATGGCTTCTTCTGTTCTTGTCCTTGAATTGTTAAAGGCTCTTTGATGCATAACATCAATTCATATGGTGGAAATTATTGTAAGCATCCAATAAATATCCAAGAATATCCAATAAAACGCGTCTGGGAATGAATCGGTAAATTCATATAGCAAGGTATGTAGGTTCATCACAAAATTTAGATCAAGCTCACTGCCTCCAAAAAATTAAACAAAACAGGGATCTTGCAGAAACAGAGTGTCAGGCACTCAGGCGTGTCAGAACCATCAACAAACAGTCATGGAGCCCCCGACAGTCAACAGTAGTGAAGAGGACAGTTCAAAAACAGGCCTGTGACCCTTGTAGAGGACCCAGGTTCTAGATGTCCAATTAATGTCCTCACAGATGTGCTAGGCAGGGCTGAATCTCTCTAATGGCAAATCCATCATATCAGATTAGATAGGATGGCTGCAGTGATTAGCATTTACCATGAAAGCTTTCACCCAGTTAGCCAAAACTGTTACAAAATGTGGATCCTGCTGAATATTGGCAAAAGGAATCGGGTTATAAGAATGATTGAAGATACAGGCGCCATTCATCTATTTAGAGGTCACGACACTGTAACGATACGTAGTTTAGGACCCTGTGCAGACGGTATAATCCGGAAGTGACTGGAAAAGGGGAAGTGACGGGGAAAACACGGTTAGAAGAGGAATGTGAGGGATGGTGAATAAAGAACAAAGCGGTATTTTTAATCTTGTGTTTGAATGGTCATCTTAACCAGGTGGATGCAGTGCAAAGCCATCACCCTTTCAGGCATTCAGGTTTGAGTCCATTTTTTGGACTTCAGTCAGGTTTTAAGATCCTTGACAGACATTTGTGCAGTGATCACAGGGGGGTTTACTTTCAAGATCAAGAAGGAAGTGAGAACCCAAAGCCACAAGCTGAAAATAAGGGCAAGCACATGAAGGGCTCAAAATAGGAGGCTATCTTTTACACAGACAGCTGCTGGCTCCCTGGAATGATGAGACTTTTAGATCACTAAACTACTAACAGCCAGTCAGGCAAGATATATCGGGGGTACTTGCCTTGATTGTAATGTTTCTTATGTTCCTAAATGCCTGTCAGTCTTTATTCAGTACAGAACTTCAATTGCACACTTTGTCTAGCAAGCAGGCGTGCTCATGTTATCACCAGCTGTACCTACTCACTTTATACTTTATTTTAATCGTTTTTTCAATCATAAGATTTGGTTGTTTTCAGAGCTTTAGGGGTAATACAATAAGCCCCTAAATTGTCTTTCTTTAAATTACAAGTGGTTAGTAAAATAATTGAACTTAATTCTCAATATGGATCCCTTCTCTTTCACTATTTTGTTCTGTGGTGCAGAGTCTGTAGCCCATGCACTTTCACAGGGAGGGAAATCTACTGCTCTTTTATCAAAGAGCACACTATTCATGCAAGTGTACAGTTTCGATAAAATCTCATGGTTTTAACAGTAGACTTACATGTAGGATGAGTATCGATAATGCTATATTTTTACCTTCAACTTTTATTGAAGGTTTTGATCACAAGAGCACGGATCTGCTCCATCCATTTTCTCTGAGAGATACTGTACAATAGATACAACCATTTCTAAAACATTAAGCTTGGTTTTGTTCTTAGTACCTCGTGAGGCAGTCACAGTGGTAAGACCCTTAATGAAGTTACTGTATATTTTATATAAAGTAACACTATACTGTATTTGCTGATGCTGGGTGGAGTTAAATGCAATTCTGCAGGTCTACAAATGCATTCTAACTAAGCATTACTGCAGTAATGACATGTTTTCTGTTTCCCAATGGTAAACTGCAGAGCTTATGTTATCCTGCCTGTAATACTGTGCATGTGTGAGCAGTTTTACTGTATACATAATCAGCATGTACAGTAAGTACATTAAATGGTTGAATGTAAAGTTATCCACATTTACAGTATGTACAATACAATATTTGTGTATGTGTGTAATACTAAATTACACACTGGTTGTGCACTCTGTGTCACTTCACAAACACAAGCATCTGTATCAGCAAACACCTGCTTTGTCAAATGTTTCAAGTCCTAAATTAGCTTATTGGAAAAGTGGAATTGGGCAGCTGAAGCAATACACAGCATGTCTTTTTGCATCTTTTCATGTTGCTTGCAGAGACACAACGTGATCTGATGAGTGTTGATCAGTCACTTAATATTTAGGTTGATGAGTGCATTACATGCGCACAGAAAAAAAAAACAGTCTCATCTGTCTGTCATTTGGAAGACTCCGATGTACTGAACGTTTAAAGATCAAAATGTGATAAACTGCGCATTACCAATTCTATTCAATCCGTTTCACAACATGTCACAAATACAGTATCTCGTGAATATCTCTATTGAGTGATGTTGTAGTAAAAAATAATAGTAATTATCTCAAAGATTAACTTTCACTTCTTTAAGTTTGTCCTTGGTTTGTTCTCATTTTTAAAAATTAATGCTTTTATTACTCACCTTATCATAAGAGTTCAAATATGGCAACAGTAATGATGAGTTTTATTAATCATCAAGTTGGATTAATCATTTTTTCTCTTTCTATAAACTCTCTTTTTCAGCGTAAAAAGCCAGGGAGATTGTTTAAGGCAACTTTGCAGGATGGTTTGATTAATGGGTGCTTAGCACAGCAAATCACTGTAGGCTGTTTTATTGCATATTAAATGGTTCCCTCAGTTAATGCAATCAAAACGATACCCGACAGGCCCAGTCTTTCAGAGGCTCAGAACCACCTTCACCTCCAATAAATATTAAGTGCACAGAGCAGTAACAACATTATGGAAATGTTTACTAGAAATCAATTACTTTTTGATGCTGCATAAACTGTGGCACACAAGCCGCGATGTGCTAATTCCCAGCTGAGCGCGGCTTGAGAGAAGATATACTCGGTGTGTGAGGAATGTCTCGCAGCACCTTCTGAATGATTCATGAGATGCGCACAGTGTCTGTGTTCCAGGTTTGCCATGAACAAGGTTTTGTGTATTAAACCTGTTGTACTCCTCCTCGTGGATAGCCAGCAAGACCATGGGCAAGAAAGCTGTGAAAAACATCGGGTGGACAGCTTTACTTTTATACTTTTACTTTACTTGTACAGCTTTTAAATCTTTTCCACTTGAGGAAGAAACATTTCTTTTAAGTCCAAGTTCAAGCTTATTTGTCATTCCAGTCATATACAAGTATACAGTGAAATGAAACATCATTCCTCTCGGTCCACAGTGCGATTACAGAAAGACACTGACAAAGACAATGTAGACAGGACTAATAATACTAATATTAATAAAGAAGACTGTGCGAACTGAGACAGTGTACACCGGAACGGAGGCAGGGTACACAGGATACGTATATACATAGTGAAATGTAACTGTTACAGAATATTATAAAAAGCAGTATTAGCACCTGGTGCCAGATCTCAGAAGCTAAGCCTGGCTGGGTCTGGGCGGTTCTAGGATGGAGCCTTCTGCTGCAAGAGGTGTTGGTGGACCAGCAGGTGACGCTTTTCCATCTGGACCAGGTTTTCCAGACTAATGTCTCCCTCAAGAGCTGGCTGCGACATGAAAGAAAGGACAGCTGGGACATGGTCACCCAGATGGGAGTTGCTCTTCAGCGCTTTATAAAGTGGGGCCTTTCCTGCAGTACACACTTCTCTACTGTGATATCTCCTTTGAGACCAATCACGATGGATGGTGCTACACCAACACAAACTTAAATGAAAGAGAAATAAACTATGCCAAAGCACTCAGTGCCTTTGACAGCAGTCTCTCATACATTAAAAAATAATAATTTGTTTGTCTATTATTTTAAATAAATCAATCCAGCAGGGCGGCTAAGTGTACACTCTAGTAAGTCAGATACTGTTTTTTTTTTGTTGTGTTAAAGGCTTAAAAAATTAAAACCGCACTTGGGTAGTGTGCAGAACGGTTCTGTCACTGAGCTGGAGGAGGTGTGAAATACGCTGAGGAAACACACTACAGCAGAGAGCCACACCTTACAAAGAGGCCACCCTCTAGTGTGTCTCTCACACCAGTAAGAATAAATATCCGCAACAGGAAATACAATAACCTCCATCCGTCTTGTGTCCCTGGCTGTTACTTACAGCACTCGGGCAAATGGGCTTTCTTCCAATCATCCCTCGAGGGAGGGCTGGGAAGGAGTCGCTTTGCAGAGCAGGTGACGCATCTAATCGGGGGATTAGGATGAAGAGCGATGGGCAAATCCGTGAGGAAGAGAAAGAGATTCAAACAGTGAATTAAAAGGACTGGCGCCAGTCCGGATCATCATTTGCAAAAGCTAATTTAACTTTAAAAGGTTTGTGGAAATTTGCAATGGATACAAGTTCTATTGGCATGGCATTGACTTCAAAGCCCTGACAGTCAGAATGTAAATATTTTAAGCTTGTGTAGTTTTTGTATGTTATTTGCTTTCCTTGGTGACATTACAGACTCCTGATAGAAAAAAAAGAAATGAAACTTTAGTATGGACTGTCAAGTGGAGATTAATGTGGTTCATATCCTCTAGGTCATCAAAGTCTTGATCTCCATGCAGAAGGTGCTTTTCATGGGTAGGGAATCAAAGTGATTACAAAAAAAACGTACTTTCATCTTCTCCTACAATGAGTATTTTTGATACACCTCATAATTTGAATCTGAGTAGACATTAACCTTTTATACCTTTTGATCGGAAGAGATTTTCTACAATTATTCAGGAGCAGTTTTGTTTCCTTATACAGTAAGTGTAGTATTAAACCAAAACACACATGTATTTTTAAAAAATATATATGAATCCTAACCGCAATCTGTTCTCTTCTGCAACAGGATGGAATGGGTCATCTACGAATCACTGACAAGGGTCTAAAACTAGAGGGAGATTCCGAGTTCCTACAGCCTCTCTATGCCAAAGAAATTCAGTCAAGACCAGTAAGTACAAAGAATCCCCTTTCTAGAAAGACAACTCTTCCACAATAATATCAGAGCTACTAAAAGCACACACAAACGTGCCACGGGAAGGATTGACTTGGACACATCGTTGATTCATAATGAATGACATCGCCCACAAGAATGCTTAGGAATGTTCCTTGGCTTGACCCGATGGGCTGAGGGCTAAGCACCTGGGCATAGGATTATAAAGTCAAGACCCCCAGCAGAGGGAGATGTTTACAAGGGGCAGCTGCACAGGTGGAGGTGAGCAGGAGGAGGAATGCAAAGACCAGAGGTGTAATAGGGCATTGCTGGCTTTTATGGCAGCGATGCCACCGAGTCAGAGTAGCAGATCTGATGGAGACCTTGGGGACCCACCCCTCCCAAACATTTGTTAAAAATTCCATAAAAACTTGCAGCAATAGACATTTTGGTAGTCTAGTAAAATCCTGATTAAAGTGATGTGGTGACAAAAGATTATTAGGATAACACGGTATAAACACTCAAGAGTGTTCCTGAATTGATTTGCAGCGCTATTTGTTTCCTCCAATAGTTGTATACTAAGCTTCTCATATTCCTCTTGCTGTTGATTTGTTTTCTGGATAAGAGAAAGGTTATTAGCCATACAACACAGTGTTTCAACTGTTAGTTCTTTAGTTGTACCACGGTATAAAAGCTTAAACGTTTTCAGGCATATAAACAGGACATTCTTGGGCCTTACCTTAAATACATTCATGACGAGGTAACATATCCAGTTATCTAGACAATTCGATAGTATCATTTTTTTTTAACCATTACTTACTATAAAAACACTTTCAGTGAAAAAGTGCAAATGGAGTATAATATTATTTGTAATTTATACACCAAATATTATCTGTCACAGTTAATCGCAAAACAATAGCTTCTTGCTATCTTTAATTAAGACGTTAATTGGAGCATGAAGGATTACCTTTGAAAGTAAAAGGGATTTGGAAGACAGAAAGATGCATTAGCTATGATTTGCATTGCAGTTTCAACTCATAAGTAATGGAATTTATCTTAAAAAATGGGGGTCACCAACGTGCTCAGCTGTGGTTGTAGACCTGCTTTGTTTCTTAAATGAAATTGTCTTTATAAAAGTTGATAATTTATTGCTGACAATTGTGGGAACCATCTGTTACCCTATAAATCATAGAATAACACAGGCTTGAGATTTAGGGAGCGTAACTGCTCAGCTGTATTCAAGCCAGTTGCATTTGCTTGTGTGCACGTGTGTGTGTTGACAATATTTGTTTTTCACATTCTTGTCTTTGGTAAAAAAAGTGTTTTATCCGGAATTAAGTTACCCATCTTCAGTAAAGATCTAAGAACATTTTGCTCCACTGGAATATATGTGTCAGCTGTTTAAAACAACATCTTTGCTTTCTTCTACAAGTGCAAAGCGCTGGTGTCAGAAAGAAAAAGAAAATGTCTGTGACTGTGACAGAAATAAGATTGAACTTACATGTAGCACTTGCCAATACCTCTAACAAGACATAAATGTCAATTGTATATATACAGTTGCATATACTTTATTCAGACTCATACGGAAAAGTAATTTTCTGTAACTGTCCTTTTCACTTCTAAAACATTACACTCCAAATCAATTTAGGCTTTTGAAACCATTAAAGTTGGATTTATGTCGTGGAAACACTTATTGAAAATGCAAGAGAAGTGGCTTGGCATTTGTTTTTCATTTTCAGAACTGATGCTGAAATACTGGACTTAAAAACTTAAGGGTATGATTTTAAAAAGCAAGCTGAAGCCCTCTGACGTTAAACATGTTGTAGTTGTTCCCGTTCAGCACCTGGGAGTCTGGAATACTGTTTTGTGTGGCAGTACTGAGCGACATGATTTGCTCAGCAGTACAAACACAGATGGGGCTGCATGGCTGAAATAAAAACGCCCTGTATTTCTTATTTCGGCATTTAATAACCTACAAGGATGTAATCAGAGGTATTTATGATGCTCTAGCAAATAGCAACAAAAATTAACAGTGATGTACAGGGGTGTTTTTTTCTGAAATGTGCTACAGTACTTCCTCTTTAAAGGGTCACTAAATTGTTGGGCACTGCTGAAAAATAAATGCATAGCCGTGATCAGAGGTTTCTTGTTGTCATAGCCTTATCTACATCACTGATTAAAAAACATCGGCAATAATCACACTGTAGAGGCAACCAGGCACTAACTGCTTCTGCCTTTGCTTGCCTTTATATATTATACTGCCTTCTGCCTTGCCTTTATAGCTGAACGTCTGTATTTTATGTTGCAGCCTCAACACCAAAGACCCCTTAAAAAAGAACTGTTGCCGTTCTGTTCTATCACTTCACGACATTTCAAGCTGATCTTTTTTTTTTCCTTACCAGGGTAGCCCACTGTTCCTCCAATCCTCCAAAAACGTTTCCATAAACATCCTCAATGGAAAAAACCAGGTTGTAACACAGCTTCTCACAGGTAAGAAAAAAAACCCCGGTAATGATAAAAGATAGGAGTAACGTTGCTGTAAGGGCAGTAATTCATAAAGGTCTACAAATGCATTCTAACTAAGCATTACTGCAGTAATGACATGTTTTCTGTTTCCCAATGGTTTGACCTTAGCCATAAATAAGTATGTAATTGCAGATTCCCCCATTTTGGCACAGACTAAATAATTTGGAGAACACTCTGAATTGGAAACAAAACCCTAGGAGACCACTATATCTGTATTCAATGGAATTCACAGAATTTAAATGAAACCTGTTCTATTAAAGAGCTTCTGTCTTTTTAGATTGATGGTCTCTCTTTGTTTTATCCAAAAACATTCCCTTTTTATCCACATTCCATTTGTAATTATCCCCATGTTTCAAATATCAAATGGCCAAGTGTTCAGTTGTTATGGGGTTGCAGTTGTACACCCCTTTCTGCCTGTTCCACGTACTTCTCCACAACAAAATTCCCTCCATTGATTTTTTAGTTGGAAAATGACTGCTCATCTGTCATGTAACCTACCTCTGTCAAACACATCATCCCTCACCATCCTCTCCCCCCCTTTCCGCACACCTGGCTGAAAGTAAGCTGCTGGTCCGTCCCAATACCCTTCATCCGCACACGGAGGTGGCCTGAGCTCTTCCAGTTAACAAGCGATTTGGCCTCTTTCCCAAATCATTAGTTCAATTAGGTAAATAGCATCAAAACCAGTGTGCTCCGTAGCCTTTGAAGGCCAGAGCAGCCCACCCCTGCCCTAATGAGTTTTAATAGTTTGTACAGAAGTTATGCCTCAATGACCCGCCTAAGGACATGTCGGAGCTGAGCAAGTTCCTCGATATTAGAACTCGCTTGGGGTGGATTGCTGTCTTTTCCTCGGCTGCCAGTACATGGTGTTCGAGGATATCAGCGCGGTGTAATGTCCTGCCATCTGAAGATGTTTGCTGAATTAAAAACATATTTTTAATTTCCTAGTCCTCAGACCACGGAGGGCTTATACCGAGACTCACCAGAACACGTGCTGTCGGAATCACCACCGTGTCCGAACCTGATTGTGTTTTAATGCCCTTTTAAAAACCGCGAAGCACTCGCGTGGCGCGAACCGAATTGCATTTGGAATGAGCTCTCTTTTATTATTTCTTGTTTTGCAGTTTGTAAAGAAGCTTAATTGTTCATTTACATTTTGGCAGGAGCAGAGTGAGCGTGATAGGCAAACAGCGTTAAATGTGCTAAAAGCATGCAAAAAAAATATTTGAATCGGCTGAGGAAAGCTGCAAACGGAACAAACAAGCTTCAAAGAAGGTAGATGTGTTGTGTGCTCGGTCTGCTGTTCGTCAGTCTTGTTCAGACGCACAGCTGCAGCTGGGAAATGATGTTATCTGACAGGTTAGCAGTGTTGATTCATCCTGTAAAGAGAGCTCTTCTGGGGAGATTGAGCACCAATATTTTAATTGCAAGAACGCAAAAGACAACAAGAGCACTCAGGTGAAAAACAACCTATCGCACACGCCAGCCGACGACTTGTATTTTATACTCTTCACCTCAAATAAAGCAAAAGGCGTTGGGGGACTGCAAACGCGATTATAATTGAATCGAACACTTACTGTACTATCAGAAAAGCTTCAAGGAACCTTTCCTTGTCATTTTCTAGACTCCCTGCCATGGCTGCATCAAGGCTGACAGAGCAGTGGGATGAGAGGCTCCTTGTTTGCAACCCAAGCCAAACACTTAGTCGATCCCACACCACTGTGACATTTTAGTTATTCGTCTTGATTACTGGGTAGGAAGACTAAGTGGGTCAGCGAGCAGCAGATACCCGTGATCTTGAAAAAGCTGAGCTAGAAACACTGAATGCCAGAATCATTTCAGCTGTGGTGTTCAGAAGCTCTGGTGAAAGAATGATTTTTACTCATCCAGTTAAGGCTTCCCCCTGACAGGGAGCAGACCGAGGAATACGATGTTTTGTTTCTCCTTTGAGGTGACAGGTAGAACAAGCATGAAATTTTGTTGGCATTTACAACATTTATATCTGTGTGCCTGTGTGCGCTTTCAGGCTCCAGTGGGGTGGAAGCAAGGAGCAAGATGCTGGAAGTGAAGTCCAATGCTGGGAAGCTCCTGTTCTCTGCTGATGACCAGGAAATCGTCATCGGTGCTGAAAGGCTGCGAGTTCTAGGTGAGCAGACGTCGACACCAATTGGCCAGCTGTCTGGCTGCTAGCAAGTCACAACGGAGACACGTCACGATCCCTTACGTCTGTAAGACTTTTAAACACATAATGGGCACATGTCAATGATCCACTCAATATAGAGTGAGGGCTGGTAATCGGAACGGATTTAGGGGCGCCACTGCTTCACAGCACCTTCACAAAACTTAAGTACCCGGATTAACACTGTCATGATTTGTGTGGCTGGAGCACGAAATGAGCATTAGGATTCAGCCCGTGAACTACAATTTCATGTGCCAACAAATTATACTGTACTGTATGTCGCATGATCTGCTAGCCTAGTGCAAAGTTTCTGAGAAGCTACTGGATGAGCCAGCGCTCAAAGTAAACAGATAGGATGCGTGTTTTTCTTTCCTTCTATATGTGTAGACAAATTAAGTTGCTCTTCTCTATTATATAAATACACAAGAGTGTGCAGGAAAGAGAACTGTTTGGATGTCTATGCAGGTTGCTGGGCACTACCTGTACTGTATCTCAGGGAATGATGGTTCAGGCAGCGTTATTTTTGCCACTACTTCAAAGGGAAAAGATGACTATATCTCTAGTTATTCAGGGTTTTTAATACTATGAACAGCTACAACGTCAGATAAAGACCTTTGTTGGGGTTTTGAATTGGTTGTAATGAAACTCTTTTTGTTGTTTTTAGTGAGGGGACAGCATGGTATAGCTTAGTGTCTAAGTCTCTGGACTCATGACATCTGGGATGTGCACTGCAGATACTGCTGTTTTACGGTACCTTGACTGAAATACTTTACCCTAGTTGTTCCCTGAATGGAGACAAGGATTTGCTGAGGATCTATGATGGACTAGCGTCCCACACAGGGGGTAGTCTTGTGCTCTCTGTTCACTTACCACCATGGGAATTTGGATAAGCTCTGGACAGGCCTACATACTTAGTATACATTAATCAACGAGAGTGTGAGAGCAGGAAACACTTATTTACCCAAAGAGTTGTGGGAGTGTGGAACAAGCTCCCTAGACATGTTGTTAAAGCCCATACCTTGGTTTCTTTCAAGAAAGAGCAGGATGAGATCCTGGGATCCATTAGCTTCTAACTACCACATGGGTAGATTAGCGAAGGGCCCACTCTTTTTTGTAACCTTTCTTGTGTTCTAACAGAGCGTTTTAACATTTGATCACCATGTTTTGTTCTGCTAAACAGCCAATAACATGGTAATCAAGTCAAAAGAGATGCCAATGTCATTGATGTATTACTGTAAGTGCTCACTTGATGTGTACTATCTGTTCTCCATTTTACCTGTATTTTACTAAGAGCTTAGTAAAGTTTCATACAGTAAGTAAAGGTACTGTAGTTTGAACCTCAAGTATAGTAATGATATTTGTGATTGATCTGTTTCACCTAAAGTCTCCTAAACTGATTTTATAGAGATCTTACTAGGGATTTTCATCACTAAGCTGCTTCTCCATTTTCAGACAGTGTTTTGTGCTTTTTTCTGTTGCTTCTGCCTTGGAGCTACTGTATGTTTTACCTGTACTTGGTGAGTTATCTGCCTTACATATTCAGTGATTACCTTAAGAGAAATGTTAGTACGCAACACATTCAAAGTTCAGGTTTTACCACAAAACTTTGGCCACATAGAAACTGAAATCACATACAGTACTGTAGCTACAGTTTTGTCCAGCAAAGCCAAACAAGGCACAGTCCTTGTCTGAGGTTTCTTTTGTCCAGTGTATTCTGACTTCAAGGCTTTCGTGTGATTTTGGATATATAATTGAAAACTCTCTGAAGAACTGGCCTAGAAAACTGTGGTTTAAGGGGACATGAATATTAATGTTTTTAACGATAACCTTGATGTGAGGAAAATATCCAGAAAGAGAGTGGTGTCTCTAATCTCATCTAAACAGATCCCCAGTCTATATGAATCAGCAAGTAATTTCAAACTATTATTAACCTTCTTTTTTCAATGTCCTTTTGGATAAGCTAATGAATGCAAATAAAATTCTTCTTTTTAATGGGCAAGCACCAGTTTTATAATTAGAAGTAAGAATTTGTAACAATAAATAAAGTGAAAAATTACAAGCTACATAAATGATTTCACTTAAGGGAACTTCATGCAGTTAGCATTGGTGCCACAGAGTTAATGAAAAGCCTTTGCAGTAGAAAACCTAATTAGGACCAAATTACTCAACAGTGTAAGTTTTAAGTAGCAAAACATTATAAGCTTAATTAAACGTGCTGATATTGGAGGAGGATTTCTTGGGCTGTGTAAAAGCTCATTCATTCAGAAACGATGTAAGATGTTGGCAAGTGTCTTTTGAAATGAGTGTTTAGCAGGGGTAGCAGAATTTAGTGCACACACTCAAAAGAGTCATCTTGCCCAGGCAATGCAGAAGGGTACAGTATGTGAACAGTATGTGAACAGGAAGTACTGCAGAGCCAGTATCTGGAGTCTCCCCAAACCTTGGAAAACAATCGCACTACAGCACGTGAGAAGACCTGTTCTGATCTGAAACCCGCAGCATTTAATCCACTTCAGTCACCGAACAAAATGTAATTCCAGCAACCGCCCCTTCACGGAAAATGCTGTGATAACAAATTTAATGTGTGAAACTATTACAAAATATGTTATTTATCACGGTGCAAACTTAACTTTGAGGATATTGCAGCCGTGTTGAAATCCCGGACAGACGCCGGCATCCATGACTTCCGGTCACGATGGAAATTTTGTCTTTCACTGGAAAAACATTTCTGTAAATAAGATGGTTTTACTTTTCTGGTTTTAATTGTGAATGGACATAAGCTGAAATAAGTGTTAAATATTAAAGAAAAGGTTCTCAATATGTATTCGTTCTGTATTTGGTCTTGGAATAAGAAAGGAACTATTTTATTTTGCATGAATAAACTTTCCTTCAGCATTAGTTCTGGTATCTAGGGTATTGTTTTATTTTTGGATAAAAACCTAAGCACTTAAAATTGTTTCTTGGACCATTTGATCGAGGCTGAATTTCAGTCCCAGAAGCTACTGTCGACTTCTGTTGAAGCGTTTACTCAGAATCATGTCTATATTTATGTCCCAAAAGACCATGTATGCTGTTCTAATTTTATTACCTTTCTTTGTGTCTGCTGAGCTGTGGACAGTCAAGAAACCATGTGATGAATCGATAAGAATGCTTTTCTTCTCCAAATCTAGTGACCTTCTGTGAAGTGGCCAGAGCTTGGGTTGAATTCACACTTCAGCCCACCCAACAATTTTAGATTCCAAAAGCGTCATTTTGTATCAGATTTCGGTGTTCCAAAAGCATTCCTGTCTCTTCCCAGAGCCAAATATTTGTTGTGGAACCACAGTTACAGTAGGTCTGATTCAATCTGAGCCTGGCAGTGGGGTTACTGACCTAAATCAGACATGCAGCTTGCATCATGACATATAGTGTCTGCATTTTCTCTTAATTAGGACCAGCTGTTTGTGTTGGCAATGGAGAAAAATACCACAACTGCAGCAGGACTATTCTGTACACAGATGTGTCAGTGCCTGGAGAATGGGATGGTTAGGTTTAGGGTTGGTATAGTGTTTCCTGCTATTGTTCATTAAGCTAAAATAGTTTTATGACAATAGGATAGATTCAACAGTGTTCAGAACAAACAGAAGATAAAAAGTTTAATATTTTTACTTTCCATACTTTGCAGTTCAACTCCAAGCTTTAGCTCAAGAACCCAGTTAAAGCTCTAAATAGGCACTTAACTTGACCACTACAGTACATCTTCGGATCTCTTTCTCATTATTTTGTACAAATTGAACAATATGCAAAAGATTTTAAAGGAAGCTTGGCAAGATGATTGATTCAATTAGACAAGTTCCTCAACGGAATTAAGTTATTTAAATTTTATTTCATTCTAACCCTATTATTCATACTTCAAAGAAACGTTTTTATGAGATATGAAAAGGGTTTCTTTCATGAACACGTACTGTACTGTACAGTGTTGCATGTGCCTCTTCAGAAGATACTGACGAGCCCTGTGGAGCTTTTGAGAAGTTGCTGAGTTTTAGTTCGGCTTTAACAAGCCAAAGTACTGAAGGCCACACAGATACGCGTTTATGGCAGAAACTTGATTACAGCAGGAATTTGATTATTATTTTTCAATCTCGCAGAAAGGTGAAAAGTGATAAATAGTGGAAAAATAGGAAAAAGACTAGTAGAAGTCAGAAGACAGAGCTGAGAGCTCACTCAGGCTCTACAGTACGAGTGACGTCAGTGCACACAGTGCAGGTGTCAAAACAGGCGCTGGGGGAGCAGAGGGCTTGGGCTTGGGTGGGACACAAAAACAAGCTTGTCACTGCCCCATCACAGGTGGGGTCCCTTGAGTTTTTGCTTTTTTCAGATGATTTTTTAGCATTTTAAAATGTCGGTTCCACTCCATATGAAGATATCAAGTCAATAGCCATGAACAAGCTAGTTTTTATACAGGCAAAAACAAGGAATATGTTTTTTTGTTTACGAAGAGATTCTTAGAATTTCATGATACATCGATTTGGTGTTTATTTCTTGTAGCTTTATACATGATTGAGCACACAGCTAATGGCATGTCTGTGTTAAAAATGCTCATCATTCTGAGCACGTAACTCCAGATCTCAATCTAAATATGAAAACTGAAAATTTCATATCTCTTGATTTGTGTTACAAAGTTTAACAGATTAGCAAAGACACACTTTTGTAGCTAGTGAGAGATTTAAAAAATATCCGTGTGGTACTGTTGGACAGTCATCAACTTAAAACATATAGGAAATTAAATAATATTTAAGCAATTGATTCGTCGATTTTACCTCCAACTATTAAAAAAATTAAATATTGCTATTGCAAAACTTTAAAACTATGCTACATATCATTAAAATGATTTGCATAATGGCAAGAGACAGTGCTGATTTCCCATTGGTCAACACAGGACTGGGTCTCTGATGTCATCCTGACGTAAGTGCCGATTAGCCTGAGTA